TATAAAATTATCATTATAATTAAAAGTTATTTTAAGAAGTAATTTGTTACCATTTTTGATTAGCCATTGTAAAAAGTAACTCGTTAGCGTTATTATTACTTCAAAAATATCAAATCGTTACAATTTCATTATTTTTTCACCGAATTGATTTTGTTTCAGAGTGGCATTCAATTATCTATATCACTAATTGACCAATTCAACACAAAACCTATAATTACCTCAAATCTATAATTAATCCCAATATGATCAAACACATAATTCTCTTTTTTTTATATTCACACTTATGCACGTTCCATACACGTACATGTATAAAATAATAATAAAACGTTTATATTCGTTATGTTTATCCAAAAATATAATAACTACATCATCATCAATATAAATCAAAACAAAATAATATAATGTCGCGAGTGAGAAGAGTCAAGAGAGAGGTAACTCTCGTTATTTGAAAAAATAATTGTAACGATAACGATGTTTCGTACGAATAACGCGTATGAATTCGTATGAATTACTTCCCAATTATCTTGTAGTTTATAAAAATACTACATATATAATAAATATAAAAATAAATTTTATGATGCAATTTAAATCAAGTTGTTACTTAGTTGTTCAGTTACTTGTTTGTTTAGCTTCGTCGAAAAGAGCACGCGATATAATCAGTCTTTGAATCTGCGCAGTACCTTCGTATATCTGATAAATTTTGGCATCGCGCATAAGCTTTTCTACTGGATACTCAGAATTGAAACCTGCACCACCGAAAACCTAAAAAAAAGTCACATACGATAAATTATAAAAACATATTGAATCAACTTCATCTTCTTACTAACTGTATAGTTTAATAAAAAATTCATTAATATACATTATTGTACTTTACCTGTACAGCGTCTGTAGCACATTTATTAGCTACATCACTGCAATAACATTTTGCAATACTAGCGAGCATTGTAGCATTCGGTAAATTTTTATCAGCAGCCCAGGCTGCCTTCATCCATGTCATTCTAGAAGTCTCAACACCAATAGCCATATCCGCTAGCATGAAAGCTATTATTTGATGTTCCGCTATTGGTTTACCAAATGTTTTGCGTTCCATTGCATATTTTGTTGCTTCGTCTAGAGCTCTCTGAGCTAAACCAGTAGCTGCTGCCGCTACCTGTAAAAATGTTAAAATATACTAAAATATATTAAATGTAAAAATATACTTGCACATATCTTATTATCTATATTTATTCGGCACTTAATGGATAGATTTAATGAAATATTACCGGTGATCGAGTTCTAGTAAAAGTTTTCATAGCTATCTTAAAACCTTCTCCTTCTCCAAGCAATACATTTTCTTCGGGAACGCGAACATCTTCAAATGTTATCATTCGCGTGTCACTTGCTCTTTGTCCCATATTAATTTCCTTAACATTTTAACATTATTAAAAAAAAATTAGTATAAATCAATAAAAATTTAAGTTAACAATTAAACAACAAATTAGGATAACAAAAATTATCACATCAAAAATTACCTTACGACCGGGAGTTAAGCCATCACTATTACGTTCCACAATAAAACCTGTAAAAGCTTTATTAGCTGGAGTTTTTGGATCTGAATTTGTTCTCGCTAAAACAAAATACCTGTACAATAAGAAGTTGCGTTAAAAGTGTAAAAGTAAAATTTCAGCTTTCTCTTGAAGTGTTTAAATTTTTTGTCTTACTCAAGAAGTACTTTGAACAATCTTGTTTATAAAAGTGTAAATAATGTGAAACGGTAACCAGATAATAATATTGTGCTTTTCTATTTCTTGATACATTTAATTCAACTTATCTGGTCTGAGACATATTATTTACATGT